GTTGGGGGCGGCCCGAGGGGCTGGTAGAGGATCTGGCCCACGCTGCGCCTGGGCTGGGAGTGGTCCCGCCGGCGCAGGGTAGCAGGAAAACTCCACTCTATTTGTTTAATCATTTCATTTTTTTTTCTTTTTTATGTATTGGGTACAGGGTCCACAGAGTCTCACTACACAGATGGGACTTGTAGTGATACTTCTGTTTTCAGCCTGGCAATTGGTGGCATTGCAGGTGCTTGCCACCATGCTCCATCTCATTTGCTATCTCAGCACTCCCCAGGGTTGCCAGCACAACTTGCCTGGTATCGAACCACGGTCCCAGTGTCTGTCAAAGCAGGCACTTTAATACGCTGAGCTATCTGGCAGGCCGACATTTGCTCATTCTTAAACTAGTATATTCCAATGTTTTTACAAAAGCAGTTAAATTCCAGTTGAATTGGGAAAGAATTTGTCTCTGACCAAAACATGTCATCTGCTTCATAGAGTTTAGGCATTCACATAAGTATATTTATCCTTGTGTATGTGAAATACACTCATATCTACATATGTTTAAGGAACTTCCTGTAAATACAATTTCTCCATCTCGAACTTCCTTATACTTCTATATTCTACCTTGCAGGACACATTTACACTGATGTTCTGTACTTTCTAATCTTGTGAAATTCAAAACACATTTGCAGTGATGCATTATTTCTGAAGCAAGGTCGGTTGCTGTGAGGACACCTGGTGCAGCCAGACTCCCCACTTTGTGGAGAGCAGTGCACGTGAAACTCACAACTGAGCACAGAGACTGCATCTGAAAAGATCTCAAATCAGTGACAGAGATGGAACTTGCCTGCAGGTAACTCTTACTCAGACAGGAGGTCCAGTACTTCTTCATTATTCGTATCATGAAGTGTATCCCAGTACAATACTGTCAGGACCCTCATGACCTCTTGCTGCTGAGTTCTATGGCAAAATCTTTAGAGATTATTTAAGGTCTACATTGAAAATGGAATTTACCAGTGGCATTAATTAAATTTCTAGAAATACTTCCTCCATTAGATTACATGCTCATCAATATGTCTCTAATTCAGGAATCTTTGCTTGAGAATTTGTAAGTAATTCAGAATGCAGAGCAGAACCCAGTTCCTTCCCATCTTACTTGGAGACCCTGAGCATGGGGATTGCAGATTGCATATTCTAGTTTGAAGAGGCATCAATGGTGGATGTAAGAGGATTTCTGTATGTGATCTCTTCAAAAGGGAGGTATAACTGTCCTATGTCATCGGCATTACTTCAGTGCTATTTGTTTACTTTGGAGACAAAGAGGCCCTTTGGAATCCTTAGCTGTGATGTCACAAGGCAAGGGATCTGATGTACTAATGTGTCACATCTGTGCCTGGGATAGGTCTAGGCACTTCAGCCAGGTGACATCTCAGTTCTCTGATGTGTATCCATGTTCTTGAAATTCACTTTTGTCCTCATCATTTTATGAACAAAATGGAATGCATCATATTTTGGTCTGTTAACCATATTTTTAGATTTTTTTAAATCAGTATGTATTTGTAATCCAGAATAATATTAGTTATAATTGTTACTTAGCATATGTAGCTAACACAACTTCTTCTCTATCCATTTTTAATGGCCTACCCAATTATAATATTGATCAGGTGGCTTGAATGTAGGTGGCAGTGGAGTCAACAGTAGTGAAGACTGCTAACAGATAAACTGGTTGAAAGTGGAACTTCTGCATAATATTTTCAGTTAGGGAAACTTTTCTGAATCAAAAAAGGAGAGCAACTGAAGCCTAAAGTTCAGAGCCAGATGAGTCTGCCACATTCTGTGGGGCCCCTGATTCTGATATTTGATACAGAACATCTCTATCTGCAATATATGAGCTCATACTTCGTTACTCTTGCATCCAGAATTTGGACCTATGCTCTGCATTGAATGGCACTGATGGATCTGTAGCAAAGCTGGTATGTGTTTTGCAGAGAGAAGAACAAAACATTATAGTTATGCATATCCTTTCATGGGAGGGAGGTGGACACACGTGCTGCTCAACCCTTAGATATTCAAGAAGGATTTGGTCACCAGCTTAGGAAAGCGCATGCTTCACTTATGTGTTTTATTTTTAACACCAACTGAATGTACTCTATGTGATCTTGTAGTTCTGGTGGGAAGAAACAAAGCATTAAGAAGCATCAACATATGAAAAGTGAAAGTAAAACCTGATTCAGATTCCTGGAGGATGTCAGTGATATGAAAGCAGTAAACAGACAGGTTGGTGGGGCTGGGTTTCATGCATAGGAAGTAGGGAAGGTTCAGCTGACGAATCTTCATTATATTTAGAGTATAACATATGGATGGAAGGTGGATTTTAGTGAAACCCATCTGAGAAGTTTTGAGGCATTTCAATACAGTTCTGTCCAGAAAGCGAAGGCACAGAGACAAAGAGGAAAAGCTGTGTTGTGGTTAATACTCCTGTCAGATCTGTGTGTGGAGATGAGTACACAGGAGCTCTCTGGTCCTCTTGATTCCACTCTTCATATTTCTTTGAATGACAATTTACAACATGAATGCAGATAAACTGTCTCTCCCCTGGTGTTATTTGTTTTGATACTGATAAATCTTAGAAAATATTAAATATAAATTACTGGAAATATGTAACTGATCATGTGGCAATACCTCATCTGCTCGATTTTACTGCTTCTGTCATAAATGATATAATTTATTTAGTAACTGCTGTGGAGCAGTCTGTGGGTGTCATGAAGGAATAGGAGAGGTTTTCTGTAAGAGTATTACATGATATCATTGGGTCTGATTCCATCAGAGAAACAAATATGAATTTCCAAGGTGAATGAATAACAGAGCCTGATGCTCTGTGGCTCCCAACCAGAGGCAGCACAAGCCTCTTTTTCTTCTCCTCTGTCTGCTCTGCTGACTGTTGCTTCAATAGGTTCTCCTTCAATGTAGCTGCTACTGCAGCTCCTCAGTTTCCAACCTCTTCCTTGACCTTGATGTGTTTGAAATGTGAGATCCTGTGTTCATGACTAATTCTTCTCCCTTTGAACCTAACAGTAAAACCTAGGGATTTTGGTACTTACACCTGACATCTGCACCTTTTAAAAAAGCACTGAATTTCGTTTACTTTTTTTATGAACTGGGTTGACTTGTTACAGCATCCATGCAGAATGTATGGTTGTTTGTTCTCATTTGAGAACATTTCACCTCTATGTGGGATAATTTTCAGGAAAAGTTCTTCCCTGAGTGTGTTGTGTCTGAAGCAGGCTCTGGGGCCATTTCTCTGTGATCAGCCCTCCCATTGTCCTGGGTGAGCCCTGTGTGATCTTTTTGAATCTTTTCATTCAGACCCTAGGGCTTTTGAAGTTATCATGTGGGGTTTGTGGACACCAGGAGCATGATGTGACCTCATGTTGGACCTCTTCTGTCCTCCAGTCATCCAGCGTCTCCCCATCAGTGCTCCCTCCACTCTCGGCTTGAGGCTTTTCCTGCACCAGGATATGGGACTCACTTATAAGTCTGAAACTTCCTGTCTCTCCAGGTTTCTTTGGTTTTTTTTCCTTTTTTTTTTTTTCTCCCAGAACCGGGGATTGAACTCAGGCCCTTGTGCTGGCCAGGGAAGCACTTATTCCACTGAGCCATCTCCCCGGCCCCTCTCCAGGTTTCTTGGTTATCACTCAGTCTATAGTTTTGTTTACTTGAGGAGCATGTGAAAGATTGTGATTTTAATTTCCCATAATTTCATAGATTTCAATATGTAGATGATGGTTTTCAATGGCTATGCAGATTGGGATACAGCAAGATGCATCCCTTGTGAACAAATTAACTCTTACTTGAATCAGGTTTTAATATCAGTTCTTGAAAATTCTGTTTGCACAGTACTGGCTGAACATGGAAAAAACACAAGAGGAAACTCATGAAATATTTCAGAGTTTTTAGGAATCTACAAGTAGTTGGAATTCAAACTAGCCAACAGGGAGGATATGCTACATCTCAGATGAGATTATATTCAGGAAGATGTTCATGTCCTGCTTTAGAAAGATGAGATGCACCTGGGATATTCCATCAGCAAAGGGAAATCTCAGTTCACAAACAAAGGAAAAAATCAGTGATGATGCTGGTGCTAGTGAGGTGCAGAGAAGATAGAGGACATGGAGATATATTTGTCTTCCCATGATGAATGTGACTGTGAAGTCCTTGGAAACATCTAACATATGAGGTTACATGTGTGAAAATGTCACCTCAGCTCTGCCTTCAGGAACCATGTATGTGTGTGAAAATGACTTTGTGGTGCTCACTATATACTTGAACATAGAAAACGGTGACCATAAGAATGACATTACTGTATAGAGGTACATATTTAATTACTGTATAAAAATTTATTACTATGTCAGTGTTAAATACAGAATTTATTGAGATAAAATGAACAAAATGTATAACAGCAGAACAATGGGATTGTCATGCAACACCAGTTGTTGCCGTGCTGTCTCTCGGGTAGATGATTGTTTAAAAAGGAAGGGGGCGGTGATTGAAGGCAGGAGACAGGAAAAGGAGTGTTGCAGGACTGTCTTGCTGCAATGTTGTATATGGTTAGATTTCTGGACTTATGTGTAAACATATAACTCTTTATTCCTATTTTTAAATATATTTTAATTTTTTGTCATATTCTGTATGGACTTAAAGTTTAACATATCAACACTTTATGAAAAATATCTGTTCCATGTTATGCCTAAGATGTTTGATATTCAGACAAATAGTGAGGTTAAGCTCAACAGCCTAGGTTATATGGTAATAACAATAAGCTTCTCTTCTGCAGGGATAACAACCTAAGTTTGCAGACCAAAATTAGAGAAAAAGGAGGGCAGTAAGGAAAGCCAACATTTTGGCCCTAGCCTTCCAAGGTCAATTAAGACTCAGAACATATGAGAACCTGTAGTGGAACATCATGTAACTCAGTTGTGTCCCAGATTTTCTGATCAAGGAGATTATGGGGCCAAAGAGGAAAGTGATCGATGACGTAGAGTGTGCCTAAGGAGAGTCACATGGAGATAAACATTCTCTCAGGCTTTCACAGAGAGCACATTGGCCAGGCAATGGCTGTGACTCATCCACATGGCTGACACTGACAAAGGATCTACAATCTGAGGTACAGGGTCTCAGGATAAATCCTGAGGGGACTTGACTGACCTTTTCAGATCCAAAAGATACAATTCTTGTTACATAGGTCTTGCTTTATCTTGGTCTTAACCATCCAGCAGAGAAGTATAAAATCAAAGTACAAGAAGTAAAGCCATGTTGTTATGTTGAGCTGTAAGGCACTCAGGTCAACAACTTCTGATATTGCCAGTCAAGCGGAAGACCCAATACTATTATGGACTACTGGACTATTTCAGAATATTTTACTGAGTTCATACACCTATAATATTTAAATGATGGAACTAAACAAAAAAGGGGATATAGATGAATGACCATTTTGTATCTGTGTATTCAAAATGGTTAGGATAGATATATAGCTACATTCTCTTAATTCAATGAAGAGAGGGATTTGTTCTAATAGTGTTTGAAAATAAGATATCATGTCTGCATCTTGTACAACAAATAACCACTAGGAAGAATGTATGCAATGTGCTAATTATTGGAACTATACTACCAATTTGATTTGAAACTGTCCCATTGCTATTTATTTCTCAATAAAATTATGGGGGGAAAAGAGTATTATGAAACTGGAGGGATTTTCTTTAAGATTTTCTATTATTTCTATGATGTTGTTATGTTTTGTGTCTAGGTGTCCCCTCTAAGCCTCATGCAGTCTTGGGTCACCTTCTGGAGTTTGTGATTGATTATTGTGGGTTTGGATGCTGCACTTGCCCTGGGGTACGTAATTTGCATTACAATGTAAGGACTGAATGAAAGCTAGCTGCTTTGAGCTGCTGCTACTCTTCTTGACCTCCCTTTTGCTCCTGCTCTTTGTTGCCACCATGAAAGGTTGCTTTCTGCTATGTGCTGCTCTGCCTTGAACCCAGATGAATATGGACTGAAACCTCCAGTAACTGTGAACCTTTCCTTCCTTCATTTTGAGTGTCCAGTATTTGTCCCTGCAATGGGAGAAGAGTAACTAAGACAGATGTACACTTGAAATTTGAGAGATATGAAAGACAGAGTTGAGAAACAAAAATGCAATGAGGGAGGGACTGAGGGGGGGAGGGAGAGAGAGAGAGAGAGAGAGAGAGAGAGAGAGAGAGAGAGAGAGAGAGAGAGAGAAGTTACACTATAATTTAAAAATTGTAGAATTTATAAATTGGCAAAGAATATTAAAGGTTCAAATCCTGATGATACCCTAGAAAGAAAGAAAGAGCACAGCAAGTGCCTACAATGGCAACCTGGGCCGACCCTCTTCCTGATTCATGAGACAAGTCTCCACGTAGTGTTAGGGCTGACTAGAGGACTAGATTTCCTGAGGTGGGCAAGGGAGGACAGAGCTGTGTGTTCTCAGACTCCATAGTCAGGACTATTAAGGATTTCTTTTCCTCATCTAAAGAAATTAATTCTTCATGAAACAATTCCACATTCATAGGGACTAAACTAGAAGATTCATGTTTTGAGTGATGAGGTTATGACATTCAAAGGAAAACTAAATTCACCCTGTGAGTAAGGTATTCTGAGATGGACGTATGTCCTGTTTACCATCCAAGGACACTTATATAGAGATGAAAAAGTCGTTACTTCCTTTGTCTTTATGCAATTAAATGTAACAGAAAATGTTTACTTCCACTTGGAGACTTCACTGCAGCTCTAGCAATGCAGAGTCTCCTTGGGTCATGTTATGTTAAAATAGAAAGGAAACCCAAGAGACCAACAGGAATCCCTCTCTCCACTGGTTCCTTCTCTGCACCTGCTCCTGGGGCCCAGCCAATTTCTCAAAATGGCACAGTGCCACCCGCTGGGTATTGGCATCCCTACAGGGAGGTTTTTGTCTGGGCTCATGGTGGCATTCCCTCACTGTGCGTGTTGTACAATAATACATGGCCGTGTCCTCGGATCTCAGGCTGCTCATTTGCAGATATAGCATGTTCTTGCCATTGTCTCTGGAGATGGTGAATCGGCCCTTCACGGAGTCTGCATAGTACTTAATACTACCATCGATATAGAGGTATGCGATCCACTCCAGCCCTTTCCCTGGAGCCTGGCAAATCCAGTGCATGCCATAACTACTAAAGGTGAATCCAGAGGCTATACAAGAGAGTGTCAGTGACCCGCTAGGCTGAACCAAGCCTCCTCCGGACTCCACCAGTGTCACCTCACACTGAACACCTGCAATAGAGAGACATCATGTTGAGGAAATTGCCACATGTCCACTGTCACAGGAATACATATACACTAATTCCTTCAGTATCTTTGTTCCAAATAATTTACCTTTGAAAACTGCAAACAAGAAAATCCAGCTCAGTGCCAGCTCCATGGTGAACCCTCTGTACTCAGTCCTGATCAACAAGTGGGAAGAGCTGGGCATGCAGGGCTGGGCTCCTCTGCAGAGCTGCAGCGTCAGGGCTTGGCAGATTTTCATCAGCCAAAGAGGCCCTATTTGCATGGCCTCCTCCTATATAAGCAGCTTTGCCAGTTGAAATCTCATCCAGGTCTGCACAAGTGGAGAGTGCCTGTCCTGGCAAAGTTTATTACCAGTGCTTTTATCCAAGACCATGGGAAAACTCATTCTTGCAGCAGAAAATGCCCCCACCAGCCATTGTTCTTCAGTTAATTAGTTACTCAAGTTCTAGTTCCTGTTCAACTTCCGGTCACTCCTGTCTCTTAGAAATGGCTGGTCCTTGTGATGCTGAGCTGGCCAACATGATGTACACTGTATAAATCAATCCACAGTTGAGCAGCAAATCTGATGTAGGAGCTGACCAAGAATAGTAAGATGAATTACAAATCTCAAAAATTCAACTAGTGCAACATTTCTTCTTTTTTATGTTTGGTCTAGGGTCTTCAGGGTCTACAGTGTCTCACTACATAGACTGGACTCACACTGAATCTCCTGTTTCAGCCTCCCAAGCCTGGGGTTACAGGCACCCACCACCATGCCAGGCTCAAACTCCATCTCAGAGAGCCCTGGGGGTGATGCCAGCACTGCACCTCGAGTATTGAATCCCAGTCATTGCACTCTGCCTAAGTAGACACTTTATTCTGCTGAGCAATCTCGTCAGCTCACCATTCCTTTGTACTTGTGCAAAATAATCCTCTTTGATTCCATGATACTGTAACTTTGCATACCACTTGATGATGTCCCCGTAAACCTGTCCATATTTTTTGGGAATGTAGCAGCTACAAAATTTTTTGCAAGGGTGAGCTGGAGCCTTCAGCTCTCCCACACCAGCTGATGATGCTGCAGATGCATGGCCTTGTGGCAAATGGAGCAACATAGATCTGCAACATGCTGTGCTCAGGTGCCTGCCTGTGCTGTCTCACTTCACACCTGAGCTGGCATTGCCTCTTTCAGGAGTCTCTGCAGGGGATCGTGCCTGTGCCTGCAGATGTCTGGTTCTACCTCTGAGAACCAGATGAAGGCAGTGATGCACACAGCTCTTGGAGTTCATGGACCTGTGGAATCAATGCCCCATGGAAATCATGGAAAGACATGGTTTTGCTCACTGCAATGCTAGTCATTGAGACCCACACTGTTCTTGGACACATGGGAGTCACATCTGTGGTTCTTAAGGAAGGGAGCACCAACATATTTGAAACAGACACTTGAGGAATCCTGAGGAAATGAGTCTGGAAATCACATGTCAGTCATCAGTGACCTTGTTAGACCTCCAATTTCTGCACTCCACCTGTGGTGGGAGTGACAGATTTTGAATGATATTTGGTCTCATTTTTAAGCATCTGGATTCCCTCTGTCTAGATTACACGCCCTATCATGACCTCCATATGTCTTGAATGTTCACTCTAGTAAATCTTGTATCATTTATGATTTGTCAAGTCTTGTCAATTTGATTTAGTTTTGCTTTCCTTTGAGTTCACATTTGACCCTATCCTGCTGCTCTCTATCCTGCTGCTCTTCCTAGTCACTGTCTCATTAGAAATGAACTCTCTGGTGCATTTATTCCTGGATTCTTTTTTGTTTTTTTTTTATTTTTTGAATAATCAAACATGGTTAGAAAAATAAATGGTTATGTAAGTAATATAAAACATCCTACTAACCTGTATTGAAACTGTTTCATGTATTTATATCTTTTTTCTCATGAAAATGAATTTTAAAAAGAACAAATCTAGCCAATTCTTATACAGAGACTTAAGGCTTGTAAAAATTACAATAAAATTTTGAGTCTATAGTAAAAAAAAAAATTCACAGAACATGAAAGTAATTCAGCAATGACTGTTGTATTGTATGATATTACCTTCAAATTAGTTGTTTAGGTTATCACATATAGAAGTGCAAAATTGTTTTAGCACGAAACAAACCAAAATGACAACAATAGAGGGGCTGGGAGGAAGGCTCAGTGGAATAAG